CCGACTATAAAAGTTACAGGGCTGTTTTTTCATTCAGTTTACAATAACACATGGCTTGGTTGAGCTCATTATAAGGTAATTTCAACGAGAAGCGACTAATTAAGCGCAATGTACTTTTTAGTATACTTCATTGCGCATATAATTAGTAACGCTAAGGCTTCACGAAAAAAAACAATCAAGAACATTTTAACCTTAAAATTTGGGCTGAAAGGTTTGACTTCCGTAGATTGACGGAGAAGATGCAATTTCAACGCTGTGCAATCTTCTTTAAACGGGCTTTCAGAATTCCGTGCTTGTCTAAGTTACATAATGTAGTAGAATGGGAAATTGTTCACCGATTTGTAGCGAAATGGCGACTGTGGTTATCAAGTAAGGCGAACAGCAATACTTACCCTTTAAGTCCACTTTCTGCTGACTGTTATGGTCCGATAGGATCTGTCCTAAGTCGAAGTTACACTTGACACTTTAATGAATCTGTCCTCGTGTTAGGAAAATAGTTATTTTGCATGTAACAGTGCAATTGTTACTATAATTGGATACTGGCCCGGAAAAGGTGGTGCCAAATAACGGGCAATATGGAACGTAATGACTAAATTCCATATTGGTTCGCGATCTGCCCCCACATTTTTTGCACGTAATACATATTGGATTACTAACATTGCCCGTGCTAGCTGATCTGCACCATACTGCTTGCCGCCTGGTTAGCTCACTTGGGAGAGGGCCGGACGGCTGAGCAGGAGGTCGTGGGTTCAAACCGTTGCCAGACCAACAGTCAGGGCCTTTAAATTGAATATAGTACTGAATATAGAAATGAGTTCTACTAGTATATTAGAGCATAGTGACTCTCCGTTTTTAGAGAGCTTAAGATGTGAGGACGAGGACGAATACGTAATCGCGTATTGTCAAAAAATATTCAACCCGGAAATCTTGGTTGTTCTATTTTTCACCTGAATAATTAGACAAGTGCGGTTATTTTTATTGGAGAGGGTTTAGCCCTATCCCGGTTGCAAAATGATGAAACTTTCTAAAATTCGATAACTTGTTCCCGCCACTACGACATTCTCGCTAAAACGCGTAGTAGAATGACGACGGCTACCGACGTTTTCGCGCCAAACTAAATAACGTTGGCTCACTCTCAAGCACTACTTAGTACTGAGAAAACCTCGCACTCTTAGTCGTCTTCGACTCACATGAAGCCTTCTCAGTACTCTGAACTCGACTGAACGGTCTACTTCAGTTTGGCAGGGACGTTTTCCAAAAAAAATGTGAGACAGTAGCACAATAAAGGCGTGAAAAAGGAAACAAAGAACAAAAAATACATGCAGAAAGCGAAACACGAATGGCGTCGGGCTCTGATTATATATGGCCATTAACAATCATGATGATTACGTTCGATTTGACTTTTCTCTAATGTTATGTAACTTTTAAAGACAAGCTGCAAAGCAGAGCATTAAAAAGACTCGGCCAGCTGACTGCTGACAAAAAAAAAAAACAGAAGAAAACTAACTCTATATGACAGCAAGAGAGGATAACGTGATGGGTGCAAAGATGTAATTAATCTGTCTCTTGACTTGTCCCTCGACTCGTCCCTCAGTCCGTAAAGGAGACGTGATATTCATCCTACTCGGCCAACGCCTTCGTCTACAGAGAACCCCCTGATCTAGCACTGTGAGCAGAGGCCTAGGAAGATCGAAGGACCTCTACACGCAGGGTACCCCTTTTTTCAAAGGAAAAATAGCTCAAATGCAGCTCTACAACAAAGCTTTGACTCAGAACCAGATACAAACGATACAAAAACGTGTCTCAGGTAAGAAAGCTACAAAGTTCCCTTGTGGGAAAAAAAAACGGTTAAGGACTTTAACCGAATAAAAAAAAAATTGAAAGTTTGCTGCGGTTTTAGGATCACCCATTAACAAGCTCTCACTGATTCTCTTGTTCATGGACATTACTGACATTGAATACTGTCACAAAGAAGATCCTGGTTTTCTTTCCATTCAACTAACACTTTAAAAGAAAAACATTTCAATAGTTTTTATTCAACTACTGGTACTTAAGAGTTCTAGCGATTCCTCGCAAGTTTATTTGTTGCACAAAATTTTCAGCTTCCTCTGCATTATCCCTCCCAATCTCTTGGGTCGGTCTCCTTTCCTGTAATTGTAAAACTGTCTCCTGATTTCATATTTTCTATGTCAGTCGTGTTGTAGATAGGCATAGTGATATTTTTCTTTTTTTCTCCCACTCAGCATGATCCTAGAGAGAGCAATAACCTAGTAGATTTCATGGCATCAAATTGAAGAGCATTCTGGCAGTTTAGATTTCCTGTAGTTTTGTTTTTGTTGTTGTTTTTTTAATAAAGTTCCGGTAACCGTAAATGTTGTGCAGTATAATAATTGCTACGTTTGCTCTTGCATGGAAGTTATTATGCCCGCACCGATGGTGGATACATGTATGACTTTCTCCAGCGTTTTTTCGCCTATTCATGAAGAAAGTTTACATGTATCCACCATCGGTGTGGGCATAACAAGAGCAAACGTCGGTCAAAGCTGATGGAGAGTGAGCTCAGATTTGAACACCACAAGCCATGCTGTTTGTTCCAATGACGAACTGGCCCTTGACTTAGAAGATGGTGAAAATAAAATGATCCCTTAGCTTACAGGTTATTTTTTCTAAGTTTTTCCGCGAGGGTAATTATCAGGGAAGCGAACGTTCCACACCGGTTTTGTGCTAAGGACCGGTTTGCGCTGATGCCTCAGCCTGAGTCTCCGAACATTTGTATAAATGAAAAGTCCTTCGTCGAAGGATAGCTAGTTTTATCGGCCATGTGTTCAAACTGCATGACTTATGCTGCCATGGTTGATATACTCATTCAAGACGAAAAGCTGAATTACTGTAACTGCTGTCACTGAACATCCACTGATGTCGTAGAGGGATGAAGATAAGCCCCGTTGATGCGTTCCTTTCGCGTTCCGTGTGCGTTCCCTTAATGAATATTAAGGATGGTGGTGGGGTTAAAGTTACTTTTTCAGGTTTTGTAAGATGACCGCCTGTTTTAAATCAGGTGTTGCTTAGAAGGGCTTAAGGGAAGTGGAGAATGCTGCCAATGCCTGTCGAAGAATGTTGTGCTCTTGATGTTATTGGGGGGGGGGGGGACGGCGCAGTGGTGAGAGCGCTCGCCCCCCACCAATGTGGCCCGGGTTCAAATCCCGGCGTCGACGCCATATGTGGGTTGAGTTTGTTGTTGGTTCTCTCCTTTGCTCCGACTGGTTTTTGTCCGGGTACTCCGGTTTTCCCCTCTCTTCAAAAACCAACATTTCCAAATTCCAATTCGACCAGGAATCAGGTAGACGAAGAACCACTTTATGGATGTGCTACCTCTAAATCGTTGTTTATTTAATATATATTTTATTTTATTTTATTTATATTTATTTTCTTGAAAAAAAGGATTGGTCAAAAAAAGCCTTCTTTACTGGGCAGGACGTTTGTTCGCAGTCCACAATTTTCTTGGGTAGTAGTTTTGAGATCAATCAGCAGGTAACAAAAGGGTATTTACGTATACCATCAAATCACATGAGACGAAGCAAATAAAACGGATCCGTACGTAAACTGAAATCCACTTAATTTTTCTGACTTGTTTTTTGTCTCAGCTTGTACGTAATCTATGTAATCAAGATTATTACGTTGCCCTTTTCTGGAGATCACTTGCAGTGATTTTCCAAACTAGTCACGGAAGATCCGCTGTTCTATTCAGCCCCAATCTACCAAAAAAAATGGAAATAAAAGTTATTGGTTAACGAATAAGGGTGATCTCATAACACAATATCAATTAACTTCCCAGTTACTCGGGTATAACCAGAACGGCAGATGTTTCCCATTTCTGAGGTTTACAGTTATACCCGGTCTGCCTTGAGAAGAAACACTGGAAAGCTGTTAATCGTCTCAGATCTTCGTTGAGTCCTTTCCTTTTCTCTTTGACAGTTTTCTTTTGTTTGTACGTGTCTGAAGATCTTAGGATAACGCAGGAGGGGCACTGCCAAACTCTTTTCAGCATTTTTTTTAGAGTTACCATTGGATAGCCAAAAAAAAAAAACAACTGTACAACAACAACAACAACAACAAACAAACAAAAAACCTACCTACTCACGAGTCTACCTACGTTAACCATGGAACGAATGAAATGAATAGACTTCTAGTTGTTTCCACCACACGATCAATTATTCTAAGAGCATGCGACAAGATAACGTTTTGCATTCTTGCTAAAACTGTTCTTGCAGCATTTTTTCCGTAGCACGGTGGTATGTTGCTCTGCCAGTGAAAGTCTGGCATCATCGATCACCTCCCATTGTTTACTTACCAATTAAGGCAGCAATACTGTCCTCTCGCACAGTTATGAGCATATTCTCTCCGTCCTGGTGAACACGTGTATCTGCAACCTCCAAACTCGTCAAGATAAGGACCAAGACAACTCCCACCATAAAAAACCTGCAGCCCAAAAATATAATAAAAGTTAATAAAATAAAGAAGAAGAAGAAGAAGAAGAAAGAGAGAGAGGGAGAGAGAGAGGGAGAGAGAGAGAGGGACTTTCAAAATGGAACGCCGATGATGTTCTGAGCTTAGTAGGAATGACATTCAAATGAAATTTGTTACCCATGTATTGATCAGGAATAACAGACGCAGCCACATTTTGTTGGTCGTGTGAGCACATGACCTGAAGAAAAATGCTTTTCCGCTTAGGATCGCAAGTTATCATGGGTCGAAAACTTCTTATATCTCGGCTAGATAATAATTACACTCCTTAGAAACAACACTGATCAATATCTGGACGATCGTAATTATAGTGTGAAGTGGGATAGGGAAACTATTGATGAAACTGTCGCCAACTATTACAACCATTTGTTTGCGACAAAGTACCCTGTTTTGATGATCTCTAATCTTCTACCAGCGTCGCATCTTAGGCATGTATGTACAGTAGTTTGGTAACCCATGCAGATCAATTTACCTGAAGGCTCTTCAAAGCATTTTGTTGCGTTAGGTAGTGTGTCGTCCCAGCAACACACTCTGTTAAGACACTCTTCCCTTGTTATGTCATCGCAACCACATTTCTTGCGCTGGAAAGGAGCAGCAGGGCAAAGACCTTCAGGGAGAACTGTTGAAAAAGTGTTGATAAAAATACATTCATGACTTTAATTTCGAATTGAATAGATTGATATAAACCCAATTAAAACGGCGTCAGCGAATTAATTAAGATAGATGGAGGATATACGGACAGCGGCTTAACGGCTAACGACGCGATCATTTGAACTGAGATAGCCTGCACTGTAGGCGTTTTCTTCGGGCGTGCGAATGTTTGTGCTCGCATATGGCCGCAATACCTACTCTAAAAAACTCGATGATTTTTGCGCCCACCCCAAAGGTTGATATTTCCACTCTCGCCAATCTTCCTCAGTGATCAAAGAGAGCGGCCACATTTCGAACATAAGTAAGTGACTTTCCCTGGCACAAAAAATACGCTTGCAATGCGGGCTACCACTGTTTTACCCTATTCAGACCGGTGGTCAATTTAATAAAACTTTCAGAAGTGTAATTTACAAGTGTAGCCATTGTTTTAGAGTCTGAAAACAATGGCTACACTTGATAAATTACACTGTAAAAGTTTTATTTAATTGACCCCGGGATTTTTTTTTTTGTGTCCTGCGACCAGGGGTGGAGCTTCAGAGGCCCCGTCTATGACATCAAAACCGCTCATGATACGGCATCAAAAATTGCACAGAATAACGTAATCATCATTCCCAAAATCTAGGCATAATTTGATTGACACAATGACCTAATCTGACGTGTTGTGACGTCATATTTTTTGGACTTTTTTTTGGCAGAATCCAAATTCCATCATTTTTTCTCCTCAAAGCGAAAAATATTGAAATAATAGGATGTCATGACATATGCATAATCAAGAAGTTAGCTAACACATTCAAAATCTTTAACAATAGCAGTGATGTCATGATGACGTCATTTATTATTTAGCACGGATCTTTAACCATTCGCCATCTTGGATCTGTCATTTAAATTAATTAAATGTATTCAATAAGACGCTCAGTTACTGTAAAAACTCTTATCGATCATGGAAATGTTCAAACCTCGAGTAGGTATTAGTTAATAGTAGTTATAATCAAGTCGACAACAAGTTAGAATGGTATATTTTAATTTTTCCATGGTCTGGTCCTAAAATTTTCAAAACTCATTGCTTACGTTTGTACTATTACGAAATTAAGTGTAGACTATTGAAAATTGTTGTCGCTTTTATTTTCTTTACAATAACATTGAGATCGAGTTTCTGACGCCCATTCCCCTTGAAGTTTCTCAGAAAAGCGAGCTCGAGAGAAAGACAAAAAACAAATGGCGTCACCATCACGTCATTTTCATGGTCTGTACTATTGTTGAACATAGCTGTCGACCAATAAGCGTGGGCGAAATCGCTCAGTTATTGCAACATATAATTTTGAAAACTTTTTTTTTGGCATGTTGCCATTTCAGCATGCTTTTACTTCCACCTGGAGTTATGAAAACCGAGTTAGCAAACATTTTGTAATTTCTCTCAACTTCCCCTGTCTGATAGCTTGCTTACTGAGTTGTTTGTCATTAAATCACTTAAGTGGCTACACTTACGATATTTTCTTATGTGTTCACTTAAGTGTCGTTTATCCAACAGAAATTGCAGGTGTTGCATAAAACTGTTTTTTGCGGGAAAAATAGCACGTAAATTTACGGGGCCTATCTAGGTCCCGTATCCTTACTGTTTTTACTGAAAGTTAACGAGAACTATTCCTGAGGAGTGAGAAAAAAAAGTTTTTTCTTTACGTAATTCGTTCTAATGCGCTGTTATGCACTTTAAAGCCGTCGTTGAGAGAATTAAAGAAGAACAATAATTATTTTGAATTCAGTAGATGTTGAAGCAAAATAACGATTACATGCAAAATATATTTCAATGAGAGGCTTAAAAGTGTTCGAAACGAATAGACACTTTCTTTACACTCACCGATGGCTAACTTTAAAAAAAAAAAAAAAAAGATTAAGTCATTAATAAAGTACTACAATCAAAGTTACGTGTGCCGTTACGTGAGCCTGTACGTTACCACGCAAAACAGAAACTTACGAGAGTTCTAAGTGCGTTCCACGCAACACCCGTAAGTGTACCAATGACGGATTCGTAAGTGACCTACTTATGTGAACACTTAAGGGCAGGTTTTATGCAACCGGGCCTGGCAATTCGGAAGCGTTGCATCATCTTTCAGAATTTTATAGTTCTTGCACATGCCAGTACCGTATATGTATTTATTCGATTAACCGCCCTGGGCGCTTATTAAATTTTTGGACCTTGACAGTGGGCGCTTATTAAATTTTCACCATTTTCAGCAAGTGTAGTATGTTTATTTTGCAACAAAACAATAAATGCTAATTACAAAACGCAAAGAAGTAACAAAGCAAGGTTTCGGTAAAATACTCCTAAGAAAACTCCGTCCTCGGGGAAGTCTCTTATTAGAATTTATTCACTCAAGTGGGTGGGGTGGGGGTGAGCGCTTATTTGAGTTTGATTGGGAGGAGGAGGGGGTGGGCGCTTATTCGAGGCTGGGCACTTATTAACTTTTTCTGCCTTTAGGATGGGCGCTTATTCGAGGTGGGCGCTAATTCGAGGTTGGGCGCTTATTCGAATAAATACGGTATTACTAAATAGCATGCTTACCTTTTCCTTCCTCCAGATAACAGAAACTTGCGATGGGGTCACTATGATCGTCCCATTTGCAGCCCCTCTTTAGGCAGGTTACTTTTTCTATTCCAGGCCAACCGCAATAATACTCTCTCCGAAACTCAGATGGTTTGGAAGTGACATTCCAGTTTTTAGCTAACGTGAAGTAAAAACGGTGTCTTGCTCAGTTTACCTGAGTTATATTCATGGTAAAAAGCGACAAATTAAAATACGAAAGGAAGTCGTCCCTAGGCGCTTATGACTTTGTAAAAATCAGCGAAGAGTAGTATTATAAGCGAATTCATACGCCAGCGGAATGGAGTCGCAATAATCAGAAATGTTTCCATTTTCAAATGAACGAAGGGGTTAGTTTCTAAAGAAACTGCGGTGTTCCATCGGTGGGCGAGTGAAGTGTAAAGATATGGTAAACCTTTCGCTTCTATTGGTTTTATCAGCGATTTGATATTGTAAATTGACCACCGTAGGGAGAGACAAAAAGCTGACGTTCGAGTACTACCCGTTCGTTAGAGGGAATTGCTCAGGGCACCCAACGACTGTTTTCTGTAAAATATCCGTTTGGAGAAGCAAATATTGCCCCGAAATTTGTAATTTTTGAAGCTCATCTAAGAAATTCGCTACGGTTTTCTGAAGTTTAATTTTTTCACTTTTCACTCCCCAGTAATAGGCTATTTTTCGTAGAAAAAAAAACCTAAAGTTTTCGGATTCAAAAATGTGATGTATAGAGGAATCAGAAAATTTCTCACTTTCGTAGTACGTTAAATTGCATCTTTCGGGAAATAACACTGAAGTCCTTGTAATTTGGAAAAGACTAAAGTTCCCTAGGATGACTGAACAGATACAAATTTTATAGCGCAGCTTAGAATGCATTTCTAGAGATCTTAAAGTATTCTAGATAGCCTAAAAAGTGTTTTCAATGTATTTAGGAGGAAACCCGGTCGTTGGGTGCCCCTGATCGTTCTGATGAAGGGCTAGCGCTCAGATTACCTCAGAAATGTTTCTTTTCAATGACCTCTTTCGCAATTGCGGTTGCTTCTCCCCTCTTCTGAGCAGAAGGGTACTACCTTTCATTTGAAACATTTCCATATATAACTGGCCATGCTTCATCGACTTTATCATTATCACAGTGACATAGTGCATGCAATCACCTGACTGTTAGCAATGACATTCGGTAGTCAATTTTTTTTTCTTATACATTTACAACTTACATCCGTTTCTATCATATCCCCACCCCACCCCTCCCACCAAACGAAATTAAATCTCTTTGATGGCCACTCAGATTTAATTTCCGCGTTAAAACGTTATAAAACTGGTTTCCGAGGCTTCCGTCAGGCTGAGATTATCTTAGCTTGTTCTCAATCTCTGGAAATTGTTGGTCATGTTCAGGAAGAATATGTTTTTCCTAGTTTTAGTTGTCAACATGACTGACAATTCAGGAGCATCTGTCTGCAATATTTAGCACATGAACGAAAACACTAATAGCAAGACTTGCTAAACCAAGATTTAGTGGTGAACCTGTGAACCTAGCCCGTCCACGTCTTAATAATGCAAATTTAACCCAGATAAGTCGTCATTAATGAAGTACTCATCTCAAACGCTCTTTAGCCTTAAAACAGGTCTAACAGCTTATCGCCTCCAGGTTAGCTCAGCTGGATAAGCGCCGGCCCCCCGAGCGGTAGACCGCTGGAGAAATTCCTGCCTTTGTAAAGACACCTGCAAATGGTTAGACTTTGGCTAGTCTTCTCGGATAAGGACAATAAACTGTAGGTTCCGTCTCACAACCCTTGCACATATAATAAATTCTATGGGACATCAAAGAACGCACACACTGTTCGTAAAGAGTAGGGGACGTAATCACCGGCGTTTTGGTCTGTCTCTCATCGGGGGGAGGGACGGTTACGGGCCCGCACTAATTGGCGCCTCTCGCTGTTGCGGTGACCCTACCAAATTGGCAAACCTAATTAAATAAACATAGGACTTGTTTCAATAATCAGCCCACAGTGTGTAGTCCTAGAGACTTAACTGTACGATTGTTCCCTTCCGAACAGTTCAGTCATGCTATGGCTAGTTTTCAACCACGTGACAAGGCCGCCCTGTCGGTATATAAAACAATCCAAAAAAAATATTTCCCAAAATTTACATGAAACGGAGGGACTTCTTCTTGTTCACTAGCACTAGTATGGCCGCCGTGACGACAGCAGAAAAACAGCAATATTGAAAGGGGCATTTTTCTTACGCAAATAG